TTGGGATAATAACAGTGTTAATGATATAAGTAATTTGTTTATCAGTTATATTTTTGGTACTAGCAATATTGGCTAGCTGAATAACTTCATTTTGAATTAGTTTGATTTGTGAAAACTGCTTGTTGTTGAGGGTGAACCAGCATCCCAAAAATTTAAAAGGTTGATGAAATGGAGTAGATTGCAAATCTGAATCGAGAAATGACAAACTAGAGAAGGGTTCTGTAGAAATAAATATAGATTTAGTAGGATTGATTTGAATATCAGCTATGGAGTAAAAGGAGGAGGTAGTTTTGGTAATTTCTTCAAGTTGTGTTTTGGATTGGGCAATCCATAATGTGTCATCCATATAAGCAAGAACTGAAGTGGATATATTAAGGTGATTTGTAGAAGAGTGAATAAAACTAGTTTGATAAGAAGTAGAGAGTGTATATCCAGAAAAGTGTGTGAAAATATTGGAAATAAGAGGGTTATAATAGATTCTCCAGAATAAGAGAGTAATAGTTTCACCTTGATCAATACTATTTTTAACCAAATAGAAATTTGTAAGACCAAGATTAGTGATGACTCGGTTTGTATGATCAAATAAAAGATTAGTTAGGATATTAATAAGCTGTTGAAGCATTTGGATTCAGTATAAAGATTTTTGAAATAAATCAAAGTTGACTGAATCATAAGCTTTGCTTATATCCTAAAAAAGAAGCCAGAGTTGGTTAAAATTACAGTTTGCATCTTTAATTACATTATTAAAGATATGAATAGGTATAGAGATAGAGTTGCCAGGAAGTGCAACAAAGTTAAATAGTAATAGAATATTGTGTTGAGATAGAGTAAGATTAAGGCGGTTGGTAAGAAGTTTAGTGTATAACTTTTTGATATGCTCTATTAGGCTAATAGGTCTAGTATTAAATAAGTTGCTATCAAAAATAGGTTTTTTGAAAATAGGAAAGATACACCCTTCTTTCCATTGTTTAGGTATAGTTTAAGAGAAAAGACAGTAATTAAAGAATGATATTATAGTAGTAATGAAGTTAGAGCTAGCATGTTTTAGCATTTCATAGCTAATGCCTGATGGGCTACAAGCTTTGTTGTTAGGGAGTTGATTAATAGTTAGTATAATTTCATCCTCAGTAAAGTTGGTAAGAGTATTGGAATACCATGTTGGATTGATATTAGGTTTAGAATTATATTCTGCTTGCCAATGAGAATTGAAAATATCAGAGTTGATATGTCAGGGAGCAGTCCAGTTTTCGAAGTGTTGTTGAATATAGGATTTAATTGTTAGAGGATCCGTAATAATATCATTAACCAGTCGGATATTGTTAAATTTAACTAGATTTTTATAGCGATTAAGAATACTATTAATCATTGAAGTGAGATGGGTTTGAAGTTTAGAATATCTTTTGTTGTCTGATTTCTTTAATGTTTTCCATATTACGAGCATGGAAAAGATTTTTCCACTCTAAGTTAGTATCAGAAATCCAGGAAGTGAGAAGTTGATATGAATTTGGAAGTGGAGGAATATGTAGATCAGAGGAATAATTAAGTGAAGAAATAGAGATATCAAGATGATAAGGAATAGGTAACTGGTATTTTAAAGCAGGTTTTGTTTATCGACTAATGTTGCCAAGTTTTTTAAGATTTGAGTGTAGATTGGTAGCCTTAGAAGAGAATGTGTGTTGGAAATTACGAACAGTAAATTTTTTGTTGGGAATATATTTTAGAGCAGCCATAATTATACTAGTTTAAATTTTATGCCAAGTAGTTTCGAGAGATTCTGAAGTGTTGGGTGAGGAAGGAGTTTGATTAGAATTAAGATTGGTGTTGACTTGGTTTGAGAATTCTTTCCATTTTGTATTGTTTATAGCCTTGTAGTTAAAGACTCTTCTACGAGTGCATGTTTTATGTCTGCGTTGACCATGCAGAGTATAAAGAAAAGTTCAGTGTGAAATAAGAATTTTGTGATTGCTTAATGAGTTAGTATCTGTATCATCAATATTGAAGGAAGTAAGATAAATTAAAATAGTATGATAAGCCCAAATAAAGTCGATTTCACTACTAGATCTATAATTATGCCAGGTAGGAGTGAAGAAGGCAGTGTACGAGGCAAGATTGTACATATTGTTGTATATAAAAAATTGGAGAAGTTTATATTTGATAGAAGAGAAGTGGATATTATTAGTGGAAGCATTGAAGTCTCCAAGTACTATAGGGAGTATATTAAGAGTATAGACTTCTTGTATCCATTGAATAATTGTGTTCTGAGTTTCAAGTCTAGTAGAGTTATTATCACAGAAAAGGTATATGGAGATAATACAAAATTTGAAATCATGTCTAAAAAAGAGATCAATTGAAATAGCATGACAGGAATAGATCTGGTATTGTGTACATGAGGAGTTAAGGAGTTACAGATCATAATAGAGGTTCTGGCTTTTGAGCTATCTGTGCAGGATTGGAAATAGATATAATGTAATGTTTTAAGAGGTTTTAGAGTAAGCCTGTTGCTAGCTAGTTTGGTTTCAGTTAGATAAATGATATCAAGATTATTGAAAAAACAGTAATGTTCTCAAACTTGCTGTTTAAGATTCTTGTTAAAACCTCAAATATTGTGAGTATATATTGAAAGATTGAGAGAAGAAGATGAGGTAGTATTACTATAAGAGCTATGAGTATATGATTTAAGAGGAATAAAAGGATTGAGGTAGACAGTCTCAAAGTAAGGTACAATGACATGGTCTGGTAGAGAACAGGGCTCTCCTGGTATATAGATATGGGCTTCACTAAAGTCTGTTTTAATTGATATAACAATTCATTCGTCCCACAGACTGATTTTAAGTAGATGCAAAAAGAAGGAATTAATGGTTTGAGGAGCTTGAATTGGAGGAGAGTTTTGAAATATAAGAAATTAGTTAAAGCAAATAGATAGATCATAAGATGTAGAAGGCATTGGAACATAGATCTTATGTAAGTCTTTTACATTGTTGCTAACTATATACCCAGCTCTCATAGTTCTGCAAGAATTAGAAGTACTCTGGTTAAGCATTAGAGTACCATCATTATCAGATTCTTCCAGGTAAATAGACTTGTCCACCTGCCTACTTACATCATTCTCTTTTCTAACTACTAAGGATGTATCTTTTAGAAAAATGGTGACTGCTTTCATGTAGGTTGTAGAAGACGAGTTTAAAGCAAAAAAGACTCTTCTTCATTTATGAACAAAGAGTCTTCGATTTCAGGAATTTTTTTTGCCTCAGGAAAAGCAGAGGTTAGGTAGTGTTTAAAAATTTGTGAAAAAGTATGTTTGGAGTCATTATCTTGAATATAGAATAGGTCGAAGTAGGTGATTACTCTGGCTAAATAATCTGTGGATATTATGTCTTTAGTAAGCAATTCTATAGCTTGTTTTTTGAAGAGATCTAGAATGTTATGGTTTTCTGTTGCTATATCTTGGTAGGCTTGAAGGTACTGATAAAAGTAAAAGTTGCGACGGCTTTAGCTAAAGGTAGTAGAGTATTTTTTACAAATTTTTTTTTCTGCATCATCTGCAAGTTTGTCAATAGTTTTGGTTAGAATAGGTTTTTAGAATGAAGTAAGACATTTGTTGTCAATATGGAAAATTGAGGTGTCAATAGTGAAAATAGGTTGGTTTTCATTTTCTTGTATTGGGTATGTTTCATCAAATTCTTTTTTAATAGCGTGGCGGAGATCTGATATGTTGTGTTGATAAAAGTATATTCTTTTCTGTTGCAGCTTAACATGTGGAAGTTGAGGATTTTTGAATATTTGAGTTGTCTTTTAAATAGATTGGTTGGTGGTGGAGAGGTATATTCAGAAGATAAAGACTTCTTAAGTTGCAAAGTAAATTCTTTTTTGATAAGATAACAGAGTTTATCATAGGTTTCTTGTTTGTTAATTGATGAAAACTGTTGTTGATAAGTTGGAAAGAAGTTTTTAAACTATTCATCAAAATTTTTTCTGAATTTTTAAGAGGAGGGATATTAAATTTATGTAAAAAGAGTGATTGTGGTAAGTTAAATAACAAATTGATATTGAATTTGTCATCCGATTTAATTGTAAGATATTCTTTAAATTGGTCTGTAGAAATAACATGAGAAATAATTTTAAAGGTTTTAGAACAGAGTTCGAAGTCTTTAGCAAATTTGGTGTAGTTAATATATTGGTAATTTTCTGAGAGGTATAAATGTAATCGGGTGAGATTGAGGCAGAATTGGAGGCGATTTTCAGGTTTGTATGGTGGTATAGTAAGAGCTGAAGCAAAGATTTCATGATAGTTAAATTGGGTAAAAAGAATTTAAAGATTAAATTTTTTAAAGTGGTTTCTAGAATAGTAAAGTTAATGGATGCTTTAGGATTGATATCTGGGTTTTTGGAATGAATAAAGTTTAGAAGGAATTGTGGATGAGATGCAGCCATGGTATGAATTAAATAATGGAAGTTGGCTCTAAGTGGGTATGGATTTTTACTATTAGCTTTTTTGAGAATTTTGCCAGGGTAGAAATTGAAGAGATGCAGTTTTAGAAAATCAAAAAGTTGAAGAGCCATTGGTGTTTCTAGTTTGGTTTGGGACTTCATATTTTCAGTAATAGAAAAATTGAAAAGCCAGTCGAAAGAAGGATTTGCAGGGGGTCTTCTGACTAAGGTAATATTGTCATCTTTGTTATTGTTATTACTATTAATAAGAGTATTGTTAAAAGGTTTATTAGGATTGTTGTTAGTAAGTAGGTTAGTATTGTTAGTATTTGAAGTTGGTTATTGAGTTAATGAGTTAGTTGTTAAGCTATTGGTTATAGTAGTTTGAACTTGAGAAGGTGTATTAGAGTTTTGAAGTTGAGTAGTTGACTTGGATATTGGATGGTTAGAATTTAAGGTTTGGGGTTGTTTGGATTGATTAAGATTAGTTTGAGAAATGTGCTGGTTTGTGTTTAAAATAGATGTTTGGTTAGTAGGGTTAGAATTGATATCTTCAGAAGAAAGAGGTAGTTCTAGTTTAAAAGTGTCAATTTCCATTGAATGAGAAACTTGAGTTGGTTTAGAGGAAGTAAAGTTGGAGTTAAAGGATTTTTGTTAGGTTGAGTTTTGGATTTATTTGCATGTTTCGGGAGAGGTGTATTATGAGTAGAAGTAGATTGCGATTGAGCAGTATTATTGCTAGTATTAAGGTTAGAACTTTGTTGGTTG